ACTAACAGCATATACAAACAAAAATCTACTTTTCTTCAACGCAAAGTTTTATTTTCATAAAAAAACACAAGTAAAAAGTCAGTAATAAAATAAGAACAAATAAAAAAAATTGCAAACAACAGCACAAATAAATGCTAAATAAGTTTTTCAGGTTAAGTAAGTTAACTACAGAAATACTACAGAAATTAAAGTAATCAAATGTAAAATAACACATCCAGTGTTTTATGATATTTTAATTTCTGTAGTCTTCATTGTAAAAATTAAATACAGATGAATGCTTACCATTAAAGTTATAAAAATGTATTCAGTCAAGAGCAGAAAATGATTTTCTTTGTCTTTTGGTCTTTGATTAACATGCCAGACAGCAGCAGGAATATTGGACTGCGGTCCCTTTAAGAGTTTATCCACGGACCCAATATACTGTTCCACAACATGAGTTCTCTTTCTCAACTATTTAACGTTCCAAAACTGACTGTGTTTAACTGGATACTCGCCAAGAAGGGCATTTTGACAATTTTGTATGCATTTGACCGTTTTAGCACAGTTATCCACTCATTTTGGTATTTGTGGCTCACAAGCTGTTTGAGACTGAGCGCGGCTTGTGTGCTCCACTAATATAGATCAGTGATTGTGCGCGCGCTTTTGGTGTAAGTGCGAAACCAGCGGGAATGACTAAAATAATGCACAATACAAGCACTATTTAACCGGAGCGAATGAGACGTGTGTGAGAGAGAAGGGGTCGTCGGAGAGATGAGAGGTTTGAGACTGAGCGCGGCTTGTGCAATCCACTAATATAGATCAGTGATGGTGCGCGCGCTTTTGGTGTAAGCTCGAAACCTGCGGGAATGACTAAAATAATGCACAATACAAGCACCATTTAACTGGAGCGAATGAGACGTGTGTGAGAGAGAAGGGGTCGTCGGAGAGAAAAGAGCGAGAATGCGCGGCTGACGTATTGCCTGTTCCGCTGGTAACAAAACGGATCGGCTCGGAATCGGAAAGAAGTGAGACTGACCGGCTGATCACCGATCTGGGCCGATCATGAGGAAAATCGACCGATTCTCTGATCCCTGGCCGATCGATCGGTGCATCTCTAATATAAATGAATATAAAAATGGAAAGAGGGCAAATTGATCACCAACACAATACTCCTAATAGCAGCATCTGCTGCAGATGTCATGAATTTGAGTCTTTCTGTCTTACTCCCACTCTGTTATTTCAGGGTTTATTCACGCTGAGTGAAATAGGCACATTCCCCTGGGTCATTACAGGCAGGCCATAAATGAGCTGGTGTAATGTTTGGGTATCTCCTGATCTACTTTCACTTGAATACTATAAAATAATCAGTCAGCTCTCTTTTAATAATTCACATAGGAACTAACTACTACTACTGTATTGATTAAAAAAATGTTCAAACTGTAAAGCAGACTGTTAACTACATGGTGCTGTCCATTGACTCTGTTATTGACTGTGGTATTGTTCCTGATTATTCACTGCATCACTGAATGCCATTGTCACTACCCTGCCACAATCTCTTCCAAAAATGTGTTCCTGGAAATAATAACCCAGAGTAACAGACATACAGTAAAATAGTGGATGACAGTATCTAGTTTAATTAGGGTGGTCTGATGTGCCCTCATTCACTGGGATATTTTAGGGGCATGTTTCCGATAAAGGAACTATATGTTTGAGCCTCAACTAGAAATTATATGGTAACTAATAAACTAAAGTATATATACAACGTCACCAGAAATATAATACTGCACCAAAATAGTTCATTCATATCATATCATATCATTCATATTCATTCTCTCTGAAGAGACGTATTAGCAATGGATGCTCTTTTACTCCTCATTCAGAGGAAGCTGCTTTTATGTCTTTTAACTGTTGTAGCCATCTGATCTGAAGCAACTAACCCAAGCTTCGGCACCACAACCAAGAACCAAAGTAGTAGTTTATCCAATAGTAGAAAACACCATAAACCAGCAGAAGTACAAGTAACATGCCAAGTCACTTGGAGTGAGGGATTCCAGGACAGGCCCATCCTGATAAAAAGCATAAGATTTAAAAATCCGTGTATCACAGGGACAATGCTGATTGTGTGGAGGGCAGTGGGAGGCCTGAGAGAACAAAGCCACACTGTGCTTGGAGCAGAGCTGGAGACTGTTAATAACCCCTTCTGCCTACAGGCCAGAGCTGGCGAGAATGAACGCAGAGAGCTGTCAAGGAGAGAATGAGAAGAACAAAAGATTATAGAAATGAAGTGATGAGTGATCATCAAAAGGGGTCTGAATTGACTTATAGTGATTATCGAGAGTATATAAATAGATAACCAGATTAATAAACCTATTAAATGTTTTTATTTTTATCTAAAAATAAGATACATTTGGTGTCAGGACAGCTTCCCACGTATCGACAAGGACACGAAAGGTTCAGTAGACTGTTTGCTTTAAACGAATGGTTATTGTTATGGTGTAAAGAACAGAAACTGCTCTTTGTTAATAATTGGAATCTTTTCTGGGAGCGACCTAGGCTTTTTCGTGCTGATGGCCTGCACCCCAGCAAAATTGGAGCGGAACTCCTGTCGGACAACATGTCCAGGACGCTACGCTCCATATGACTAGTAAGCCAATTCTCGAATAACTGCTATGATGGCTTTTGTTCTACCCACTTAAATGATAGAAGTACTTGCATTGTCCAATCTATAAAGACTGTGTCTGTTCCCTGAATATTGCGGGCATCAGGGAGCCGCTATTGAAACCGCTTTCGATTGTGCGCTGTCATTTTACTTTCACTTTCATTTTTGAGATTTGCGATCACAAGGACTCTATACTATGGAGCAGGAGTGCTTACCACACATTTGACAAGATTAGATGTTTGTCATTGGTGCTCAGGATCTGCAAATCATTCGCCATCGTCCTATCAGACA